AAAAAAAAAAAAAAAAAAAAAGGGTAGTAACTAGAATACCACAAATTGCATCGGTTAAATAGAATAGAATCGACCGCCGTGGATAAGACGACGGTGGATCGCGGGACGATGTTAAACAATCTGTAGTATACGTAATGGAATGGATTGTTGAATGGAGTTCGCCTCTGTGCAGCTATGGAGATTGAGAAGAATGAAGATGGAGGCTAGAATTGGGAAAGCGCGCGAGAGAAAGATATGGTGGATGTGTGCTTCGAGGAAGGTTAAAACGGGTTCGAACCGACGAATTTCCATCGCTGAGCAAACCCAAATTCCAACCCGGGTTCGAACCCTATCCGTTGGGAAAAAATGTCTCCATTTATTATTATTATTATTATTATTATTATTCGATGTATGAAAAAAAAAAAATATATATATATATATATTTAATTTATAAATTTGAATTCCCTTTTTACTTTTTTCAGTTCAATAATTACAAAAATGAAAAATAAAATCATCTACTATTAAAATAATAATATCTTATTTATAAAACTATTATCTGATATTTTCTTAATTATATTTGTATTTACAATTTAAATAAATCATATATATATATATATTTTGTTAGTTTGAAGTTAATTTCATCACGATAGAATAGTAATAATAATAATAATAATAGTTTAGTTAAAATATTATTTGACTTTTTAACATACAAAATAAGTCCATCGTAAATTAAAATTAGGAAGCCTATTATATATTAAAATAGAAGTTTGTAGAATTATATGAGCTATTAAATAATCAGCAATCTTAATAAAAATAAAATGTATAAAAAAAATGCAGTTTAATTAAAACTACAAGAATCTGCTGCTTAAAACAGTAATACAAGACGCTCAAAGGGGAAGAACAAAATTTATACTTGCAAAGTAGTGGGGTGTGTTCTAAGTCAACTTCAATTTGCACAATCAAAATTTGACATTAATAAGATTCCCAAAGCTAAATGAAAGGGGGAAAAATGCTTATGAACTCTTCAGTCAAGCTGCTGCTAACTCTTTCCACTGAAAATTCATTAAACTGCTTCTAAGATCATACTTTTCATGGAAGGTTCGAGCTTGCTGCAGCTCCTCCGCCATAGCTACCAGCTCCACGGCCAAATCCCGGCCTTCCACCAGGACCCTGAGAGATTTTTAGGGTAGGACAACAATCAACATAACCGTGTTAGAAAGACGCAAACGGCCACCATGAACTCCTTTCATGAACTGAACTTTAATCAAGATCAAATCGAGGTCTATCATAAAGTTCACATTCATTCAAAATAACTTCCACAACGACCATATACTACTACCGTAATCAACAACCGAAATTTCATTAAGATCAAATCAAGATCTATCATAAAGTTCACATTCATTCAAGATGACTTCCACAACGACGACGACCATATAATACCGTAATCAGAATACCATTTTGCATTATGATAGCATTCCCAGGACCAAAAAAAATCCAGTTTTCATGACATTTCTAACATTTCAGCTACCAATTTTTCTATTACAAGTATTCTCCCATGGATACGGAGCAATTCTCGCCACTAGACTCCATGTTCACCTAAAACCTCAATGGAAAATAGTTTAAATGTCTGACCAATTTTGTAACAGCCCAAGCTACCACTATTCGATATTGTCCTCTTTAGGCTTTCCTCTTCCCCTCTAGGTTTTAAAACGCGTTTGTTAGGAAGAGGTTTCCACACCCTTGTAAGGAATGTTTCATTCTCCTTTCCAACTGATGTGGGGATCTCACAAACTTAACCCTAGAAAATCATTATATTGCAAGTGAACAGAGAAAAAGACATGCAAAAGCCAAAGATCGCTACTATTAAACATTTTAATCCGAGTTATTAACAGCGCAGACAAACTCATTAGGAAGCACTTATGGAGGAAAGCATCAACAGATGAAGAGACTAATCTATAACCATAAGATGTAATCCAATCTACTAGAGAATCTCAAAACCATTTTACCATGCACAACGCTGTTACCTAAGCAAAATCAATGATTGTATTGCTTTTAGTGACGCTCTACAATTACCACCCCAAGGGTAGAACAAAAGCTGTAAAAAACAGCATTTTTATGTGGAGATCATCAAAAATATTACAGATAGCACAAATATAAAAATAAAAAATAAAAAATAAAAAAAAAGTTACCCCAAAAGAAGGCCTGTAATCTGCAGGAGCTCCTCCCTTGTCACCCCCAAACTCGCCAGCAGGTCCACGAGGACCTCCACGGTAACCATCACGATCACCAAACCTCCTCTCACCACCCTCGAAACGAGGTGGACCCCTAATTCATAAGAATAACCACAATTCTATCAGAATGCTGATAAGAATAAATACAGCTTGCAAAATAACAAAACATATGCAAATTACACAAACAACTACACGAATAGGCATCCATCTATACATCAAACATTATAAATACACATCCACCAATAAATCTGCGACTGTAACAACAGAATCCACAATCCGTAGTTTTGAGAACACAGATTAATCAGCAATAAACCTCAATGAACTGATCAGCATTATAGATATAATTTATACCGTGGGCGATCACCGGGTGGGCCACCAAAGGGCCTACCAGCGGGCTTAGCTTGTTTCTTCAAGGTAGCAGGGACAATTTCAGAAGGAAGATTGAGGTAAGTTCTGAGGAACTCAATGCCATCGTTGGTGAGGTACCAGTAGTAATGCATCCATGCAAATGTCTCGCGCACATATTCCTTGGACTTGAAGCTCTGCATCAGCTTAATAACCTGCAAATTAGGCACATCGATTTCTGGGTGCTTGGCCAAATTGTAGTCCTTCTTGGCATAACAAACCCCCTCTGAAATCATAACAATACAAATAAATGAAATCACATAATCATCCTCGAATCAGAAAACTAAAAATAAAAACGCTAGCTTAAGAGTGATAAAGTTTGGTTATACCCTGAAAGAGATACTTGGAGATCTCCCTACGGTTCTTCTCTGAAATAATCTGAAGAACAGAATCAACTGAAAAATGAGAGGCCGAACACTAAACCCTATACTAAAATATAGCCTTCTCAGACGAATTCAAAACTAAACCACTACAACAATTCAAACTACACAATTGGGTAACAATTCCAACTCGCAGATCGATTCCTTTTGAAATGCCCCATTACTCTAAAACCCAGAGAACTGAAACAAACATAAATTAGACGCAGTGATAGAGAAGAAATTTGAAGAAGAGAGTTACCATGGTTGAAGTTCAGCAAGAACTGAACACAGCAGCAGTCGAGGCAAGAATCGAGAAGAATGAGGAGCAGGAGCAGAAGCAGGCGTGAAAAGCTTCTAGGGTTTGTGGGTGTTAAGTGGGCGGCTGGGCTGCGTTGGCTTGGGCCTCTGGCCCATGTAGACTTAGCTGGATCGGGTACGGGAGGAATAAAGTAGGAGATTGGGCACCCAGATATCCGCACCGACACGTGTCTAGGTTAAATTTCTCCACGTAATTTACCGTTTATAATCATTTTCTATTTAATTTTGTATCGACAAACTATTAGCCATTAAAATTTATTCCTCATTATAAATTACTTTATTTAAAAATTTTCTATTTGAGTGTGGTAATTCTTCCAATTTCCTTATAAAAATCATAAAAAATTTAAATTTAGATTTTATTTATATATAAAAAAATAAATAAAATGAGATAGATTCTATTCTTCATCTTCCTTACCAACTTAAACGAGGATTTTCTTCTCCATATCCATACTTTGTGAATAAGGGTATACACGGGTTAGGTGAACCAAGTCAAAATTTCAAATGGGTAGGGTCGGTGAACTAGTCGAGATGTTTTTTTTTTAATAAAATTATACTAATTCACAACAAATATTATATAATAACTAAAATTACTATAAATATTTTAATATTTTTTAAAAATATGACAATTAATATTTTTAGGCCAACAGTCCACATGAAATGCCAATAATACTAAGCATCCACTTCCTCTGTTGTCGGCTTTATGTTCTTTTTCTTTTTTTCTGTTTTTTTTTTTTTAATTTTATTTTTAAACTAACTCTCCACCCCCAATTATTTTCTATCATATCTCCTAAAAATTAACTCTTAATATTCATTTGGATATTTTTAAAATGTATATGACGCTCTCTCAATTAAAGTCGATATTAGTTACCGTAAATAATAATAATTTTAAATTTAATTCTTAATATTGAAAATTTTCAAATATATTATATAGTATTACAGATACTATGAAAATTCAAGTTAAACCAGCGTAGAGCGGAAATAATTATTTACTAATGTTACTTGTAGTCACCAAAACAACAGAAAAAAATTGTAATTCTAAAATTAAAAAAAAAAATTATTAATTTTTGTATAGTTGATAATTGGAGTTTTATTTTGTATGAAATTAAATTTTATATTTAATACTTAAATTTTAAAAAAATTATGGAAATGTTAAATGATTTAATTAATTTTAAATATGTATAAGATAAATAGATAGAGTAGACATGTTTTCTTTTTTTGAATGATTAAATAGATATTAATATGAAAAGTTATGACTAAATTTGTATTTAATTTAATATATATATTTAAATTAATTTGCTGACAAAGGATGTGTGACGTATTAGTCTAAGCCCCTTTCACAATTCTAAATTAAATATTATTCTAAATTAAAAATACCTTAAATTAGAATACTGTTTTTCTATACTAAAAAATAATATGAAAATAAATTAAAAAAAAACTCATTGATATTGTTAAAAATATATATATATATATATATATATATATATATAATGACACTTGGAGACCACCCATTGGGAGTTGGGACCGAGGGGCCCCACCCTTGGCCAAGAGTCTCAATATATTATTGATTATTCTCATGTGACCCTACGCTTTAAAGTTTATCCAAGTTTTATTTTTAAACCAATTTTATTTATAAAAAGTATTACTTTCTGTCTGTAATTAATATTGAATTTTTTCTTGAATAAATGTAATTTTTATTTAATATTATATAAATATTTTTAATAAGTTATAAATATATGTGTGTTAAGACAAAAATGTCCTTGTACAATGTTGAAGTGGAGCATCATAAAAAAACGCGTTTCTCATTTCAATTTTTTCTAATATTTAAACACCTTTTTTAAGGTTTATTGTTTAGGTAAAATTACAAGTAAGTCCTCGATTTAAGTCAAATAACATAAACAAACAAATATTTAATTTAGTAACAAGCTTTGGTTTCTTTTATAGAACGAATATTCCACAGTAATATATGATTTAAATAAGAATAATTAATTAAATGTTAGAAGAACACAGTGGGAAAGAAAATAGGTTAAGTTTGAAGAAGATAAGAGGGAAAAAGTGAAGGTGAGAGGTGGTGATGGGGACGTTAAGAAATGGCTGAAATTTCTTAATCAAATACTGAATTTATTGAGTATTTGTGTTGGGACCCACAATGAATATTCATTATATTTTTATTTTTTTATTTATTTGTATGATTCTAATAATTTTCTTATGGTCACTTTCAAATGCATCAACTCAGTTCATATTGATGCTGTTGTTGTAAGTTTCTTGTAAAAACTTGCATTTAATAATAATAATAATAATTTATTTTTGTATAAAAAAACAAGGAGAGGAAGTTGAATTTATCGAAATAATTATATATATATATATATATGATATTTTCGATGTTAATATATTTATTAAATAGTTTTTTTTTTTCTTTCAATTTAAATAGAAAAAAGGGAGAATAGAATGGTGACTGTGAAAAGGTTAAAATGGTATTTTACTTGGGCCAACTAAGATTCTCCGTCTGGCGCGCGCCTTCGCCACTCAATTTCTCGGCTCGGCTCGGCTCGGCTCGGCTGACTTTATAAATAGTTTTCACTTTTTGACTTAAATTAATTATGATAATATATCCCAAATCCTGAAATAACTAACACAACAGAAACGAAAGCATAGACAAGTAATAATGGTAAAAAGACAAGGGCATTTCGGGAAAATTGAAAAAGTATAATCCTCCAATTATTATTTAAAATAAAAAAAATAAAAAAAAAAGAAGGAAGAATCGGTCTCCCTGTTCTCTCACCCCGTACAAGCCGTCGCCTAAAATATTTATTATTAATAATATATAATTTGATTATTAATAATAAATTTAAAAAAAAATAAAAAAATAAAATCAAACTACAAAATCGCCCTTCCCTCTCCATTTTTACCCGCAAATTCCTTCCTTCTTCTTCTACCTCTGAAAACCCTCTACAACTATGCCGGCAACAGAATACCAAGGCTCCTTCCTTGGCCGAATCAGCATCCGTAGAAACCAAGTCATCTCCATGGACGGCACTCACGAGCAGGAGCTTGAGGATCTCGAGCTTTTTCAGAAGCAGGTTTCCGAGCGGTTTTCCGATTTACTAACTCCTCCGCCGTCCGATGACGTTTCTTCCGATCCTATCCTCTCCATCGCCTGGCTTAGAAAGCTTCTCGATTACTTCCTCTGCTGCGAGGCTCAATTTAAGGCACTCCTCATTATGAGCCGCGATCCTTCTCAGATTGTTAAGCCCCCTCTCGATCGTCTCGTCCCGGAATTTCTCGATCGTGTTGTTAAAGCTTTGGATATCTGTAATGCCGTTCTCCACGGGATTGAATCGGTCCGAAAGTTTCAGAAAGTCGCTGAAATCGCGATTTCCGCTCTCGATCAGCGCCCGATTGGGGACGGACAGGTTAAACGAGCGCGTAGGGCTTTGAATTCGTTGATTACTTCCATGGCTGTTGAGGATAAGGATTTTACCAACAGTAAATCGACTGAGAGGGCTTGGTCTTTCGGCCGTCGTGGAAGTGGTGCTCCTGGCACCGGTACCGCCACACCGCAGCATAAGGACCGAATCGCAGGGCAATTTCGGTCTCTGTCATGGAGTATGGCGAAAGGATGGTCCGCGGCAAAGCAGATTCAAGCGATGTTGTCGAATCTGGTAGCGCCGCGCGGTGGTGAGTCGTCTAGTTTGCCGCAGACTGTTTATCTAATGAGTACGGTTTTGGTGTTCGTAATGTGGACTCTAGTTGCAGCGCTGCCTTGCCAGGAGAGAGGCGGCCTGCCGACGAACTTTCCGGTGCCGAAGCAGTTGAGTTGGGCGCAATCGATGATCGGACTACAGGAGAAAATCGCAGACGAATGGAAAAAGAAGGAGAAGAAAGGAAGTGCTGGATTGTTAGAAGAGATGCAACGGATGGAGAAACTGAGTCAATCGTTGATCGAATTCACAGATTCATTCGCATTCCCGTTGGAAGGGGAGCGGCTGGAGGAGGTGGCGGGGATGACGGCGGAACTGGCGGAGACGTGCAAGAAACTGGAGGAGGGATTAGTGCCTTTACAGCAACAAATCAGAGAAGTTTTTCACAGAGTCGTGAGAAGCAGGACAGAGATTCTTGAGCTTTTGGAGTTTACTGCAAAAGCAACCTCGCCAATTGGGTAAACAGAAATCAAAGAAGAAGACGCCATTAACACGCCATGGTTACTGCTAAAGGAGCTTCAAAACTCACGTATGAATTCCAGCTTTTTCTCGAAGCAATCAAAACCCAGGTAGATTTTGTAAGACTTGTTCTTTTTTCATCTCTCTTTTGGGGATTATTTCTTACTAGTCTCTAATTTTGTTTTTCTTTTTTCTCTCTCTTGAAAATTCCTTTTTATTTTAGAAAAAGGAATTTATAATTGTGGTAATCTGCAGATGTAATTGTGATGAAGTATATGGTTTGCTGAAATTGAAATATATAATTATAGTTTATGCTTATTTTCAGACCTGGGGAAGAATGGTTGGATTGATTATTGGACATGAATGACAACCATAGGTAGAGATTGACAAATTAAGTATTTATTTTTTTATAAAGAAAGTCAATCGAACACAGAAGAAATTCTGCTACATCTTAGGTGGTAGCCAATTACTATAAATCAAGTTAAGTAGGCACAACAATATTAACGTTATACATGAATCAAGATAATTTATATACCAATTACACCATTTCTAACATGTCACATCTTGTGTGGGTGAAGTGATGGGCTTAGTTGGGGGGCACCCATAGAAATCCCCGCTTGAGGCCCAAAGTCTCTTATTTACTAATCACATCGTAGTTTCATCATAAACATACACAAATATTCATGATAGACCGTGACGAGTAGAGGAATAGGTTGGTATTGTAGATAGCTCAGCATTATTGTCTATATTTTATATAGTTAGGTTAGTGTTTTGTTTAAATTGTCATGCAAACTAAGGCTTGAAAAGCTTAATCAATTAGTTAGTTACCTCAAAAGAACTTTAAAATGTGGGAAACGTCACATTCTTTTCTTTATAAAAATTCCTAATATATGATCAAAACTAATTTAGAAACTGAAAAAAAAAAAAAAAAGAATCGAATTGAATTGATCTAATCTCACGTAGTGTGCACACCCTCTTCCTTGTTTCTCGTTTGGCAAACCTTTGTCCGACAACGACGATCAACGTTGTTTAATGGTTGAAGAGAACTCAAGGCTTGATAAATACAAATGAGAAACGACCCATGGAAAAACCACAAATTAAAAGCCTTGAATTAGATGTTCTAAAATGTGTTTCGGAAATAGATAGTGACAATAATATTGGACTTATTATTAATCAACATGTCTATCAAGCTGGCGAGCTATTTTGTAAGTCATGGAGCCCCCCTCTTATGACCCGCACTCAAATCAGTTTAGTCAACATGGACCATCCATTAAGTTTAGTTTTGATTAACTTAATTCTAAATTGTATTATGAAGTTATTTGAGTCCAATGGACTTTAAATAAATAAAAAACCAATTAATTTATGGTTAATTTAAAAATAATTATGTATGTTTATAATTATATTCTCTTAAAAATGAAAATACTTGTGAAATTTTCCAACGAATTGGGCTGAGAAATAAGAAGAAAAAGAATTGAGAATGGAGCCCATAATAAATAAAAAGGATGAAAATTCCAAGTTTGGTATTGTATTTCAGTCCAACACCAATCATTTTCATTACAATTATTCAATTTGGAAAATCTCTAAACATAAATAATGTTTTTTTTTAATAAAAAAATAATTCTAAATTTGTAAGGGTTAAATGGTAAATTTCACTTGGTTCCCGGGATTCGAACAAACCAGAGTATTTGAAGAGAAAAATGAGCTCATTCACTTTCAAAGATTTTTAGTTTGAGGTGTCTCAACATCGTTTGACCATTTACTATATAAAAACCTTTAAATCGATTTATGATTTCAAGTCTCGAGAATATAGAGAATCCTGATTTTTGACAAAAACGAGTGGCTTTATTACATTATTACCCTTGACCAGATGAATTCTCAAAATTAAAAAGAGAAAAAAAAAACTTTAATTTTGGTCAAATAATGTTGTGTTAATTACAAAAAATAAAATAGGGATTTTTCACAAATAAATAAAACAAAAGGTATTCTTACTTTATTCTATCATTTCCACCCCCGAAGTTCCATCAATTTGTATCATGACCCCAATTTAATTTTCTTATGAACTTTGGACTTTATAATTGCATTATCTCAAAACCATATGAATTCATCAAATATATAATTATATATTTATCTTATTATATAAGTAATTAATTATAACTAATTCCTACATAAAATGGAGGTGACATTAAATTATAATCTTCCCACCAAACAACCACTCTACCATAAATGAGATGAGTTGACTTATTTAATACAATGTCAAAATGATTATGTCTCAACAACATCGACATGGACATGGGTCTCAGTCCATCATTATTATTCAAAAGTCAACACAATTAATCGTATGGATAAAACACCAATAACCGTCTTAAAAAGTTTCAATATAATTCCTATAAAAAAAAATATAAGAAATATTATAATATTTTATGAACAAACATATAAAATAATGTTAGATATTTATTAAAAACTCACATTTTAATATTAATGCATGGTTATTTATTTATATAATATATATATATATATATATATATAGTCATTAAGTAAGAAAGAAATAAATATATAATAAGTTATCTTTGTGTCATAATTTTGTTACATATATATTTATATATAAGAGGGAGTCTTCTCTCTCCGTTTATTCTTGGTTTAAACGAGGATTCTAACCCTATTTAAGGTGGGTCTCGCATAATTTCTTCACTCACGGTCTATTATTCGTTTAAACGAGAATTCTAACCTTATTTAAGGTGGGTCTTGCAAAATTTCTTCACTCACGGTCTATTATTCGTTTAAACGAGGATTCTAACCCTATTTAGGGTGGATCTCGCAGAATTTCTTCACTCACGGTCTATTATTCGTTTAAACGAGGATTCTAACCTTATTTAAGGAGGGTCTTGCAAAATTTCTTCACTCATGGTCTATTATTCGTTTAAACGAGGATTCTAACCTTATTTAGGGTGGGTCTCGCAGAATTTCTTTACTCTCTGTCTATTATTCGTTTAAACGAGGATTCTAACCCTATTTAGGGTGGGTCTTGCAGAATTTCTTCAGTCTATTATTCGTTTAAACGAGGATTCTAACCCTATTTAGGGTGGGTCTTGCAGAATTTCTTCGGTCTATTATTCGTTTAAACGAGGATTCTAACCCTATTTAGAGTGGGTCTTGCAAAATTTCAACCGTGCAAATGGGTTCCAACCCTATTTAGGACGGGTCCAAACGAAATTTAAACGTTTTTTTTTACCAATTTTATAATTTGTAGACGAAAATTGGAATATTTGAGTTAAAAACTATATAAATAAATGAAAACAAGCTTGGTTTGTTATTCCTTGGTATAATGCTTCTTACAAGTTGTAACAAATCCTCTTCAGTTTTCACTCATCCATTTTTGAAGAGTGAAAAAGTAGAGGTGAAAAAAAAAACATAAAAACACAAAACCCACAACTTATTGGGAATCAGAAACCCATTTTACACTGAAAAACTTATTACCGAAAAAGAACTATTCAAACCCTAATAATCAAACCAACTTGATGATCATCATCATAATCACTTTGAAAAACCCACAACTTAGTTAAACTTTTGTCAAAATCCTTCCTTTTTCTTTCAATTTTCATGAACCTGTCACGATATAACTGAACGATGTCTCGTTTAAGTCGTTGCTCGGAGCATTGGAGACTGAGGCAATGGCGAGTGTGGCGACATGATATCTTCAAGCCTTCGAGACGACAATCGAAGCTCGAGGCTACTTTGGCGCCAACAGAATTTTTGTTTCTTAACCTTGGCTACCTCCTTGTTTTGTAGCACAAAGTTTCTAATTCTTGTTATGGAGATGTCCATTGTGTTGTCGTCCATGTTTGCAAAGCAAACCCTGAACCACCCTGGCTCCGAGCAGTGGAACGACGAACCGGGCGACACGTTTAGTTTAACGTCGTTGATTATCACCCTCCATAGTGTCATTTCTGCTTCCAATGTCTTCTCTTTCAAAAGATGTCGCAAATCCATCCACAAGAACAACCCCCCACTTCCTTTCAAATATCCAATTCCAACCTGAATAAAAACTTAAACTTTAAGGAATTCGAGTAGTAGTGAAAAGGGTATGATTGGAATACAAGTACGAGGTCGACTCACCTGAGCAAGTCCTTTGGTAAAGTTTCGGTGACGTGTAGCAAGCTTCTCGGCACTCCCAGCAAGGAAGCGATCGACAAACGCATCATCAGACAACATCGACGCAATCAAATATTGTGTCTGCGACGAGACAAGGCCGAAGCTCGACATCTTACGAGCGCAAGCCACGACAGCATCATTGTAAGAGTAGATAATGCCAACACGAAATCCAGGGAATCCCATATCCTTGGAGAGGCTATAAACAACATGGATAAGATTCTTATCGCATTCAGTGTCGTTTTCAATCACTTCGGAGATACTAATGAAGCCAGGCTCTGCAAAGACAGTGGCAGCATAGATTTCATCGCACACCAAATGTATGTTCTTTTCATTGATGAATGTAACAGCAGTTTCGAGCGTTTTTTTGTCGTATACTGTGCCAAGTGGATTTGAAGGATTGGTTATAAGTAAGCCTTTGACTTTTATGCCAGATTTTTCAGCTTCCACGTAAGCTGTTTCCATGGCTTCTCTTGTCAGTTTGAAGTTGTTTGAGCTTTCACAAATTACTGGAACAATTTTGACTCCGGTTCGCCACCTCAGATCTCTATCAAATCTATAAATAATTCAAGAAAAGTCAACTATGGGTCAAATCAAATAATATTATAATAAGTCAAACCAAAAAAAATTATGAGAAAAAAAAAAAAGAATACCCTGGATAATAAGGAACAGGAACAAGAAATGCTTCACCAGGATTAGCCAAACAAAACGCCACCGTTTCATGAGCTCCAGTAGCTCCACCACTCATAACAACACGGTCTGGATCAAATTGTACTCGATTGCCTCTCACTTTCGCCATGAAATTCGCCACCGCCTGTGAAAATTCAGTAACATTGTGAGATTCCACATCGGTTGTTGGGAGGATAACGAAACACTTTTTATAAGGGTGTAGAAACATCTCTTTAAAAGACACGATCCAAAAAGAAAAGTCTAAAATAAGACAATATTTGTTAGGGATAGATTTGAGATTAATTAAGATGAGTTTAGTTAATTTAGTTTAAAACATACATTTCTGAACTGTGGCAATCCATGGTAATCCTGGAAGATGGCTATGTCTTTAAACTCATGAACTCCTTCAACGCTACAAATGGAAGCTTTTGGATTGTTTTTAATCCATTTCTCCACGAATTCAAAAGAAAGCTGCAATTTTGAACAAAACCCATCAACCAAAA